TTGTCATTTTGTTCTTGTATTTTCTTCTGAAATTTTTCTAGGGTTTTGTTTATGTTTTGCTTGATCTGTCTCCCAATCCTTTGAAGATACCTAAATATAATTATTTTGAATTCCTTATCAGGGAGTTCCAGTGCTGTGTCTTCCTCAGGGATGTGTTTTGGGTCTGTATTCTGGTCCCTTGTTTCTCCTGCTTTATCTTGCTTTTTTGTGTGGACCGTGATGCTCTGTTGTCTCCGAGGCATTGTGACATTTTTGTGTTTATATTTAATTTGTGATTATTTGTTGAAGTGACTTGCCCACAATTTTCATTTCTTTGTTTTCTTTGTATGTTATCTACACAAGCAGGGTACTGTGCTGTGCTCCTCTATTCATTAGTTGACAGCACTTATATACTCACCACCTGTCTCCTTTCCTGATTTCAGCCTCTTGTATGTCCCTGCCCACCTTGGCAAACAGAACCTATTCTTAGGTCCCTGGAATTCAAATAAAAATGCTATCACTTTAAAATCCAAAATGGTTGCCACTTGTAAAGATTCAAAATGGCTGCGCCCTTGGTCACTTTAAATACCCAAAATGGCTACTGCTTACAAACATTCAAAATGGCTGCTCCCTCAATCACTTTCAATATCCAAAATGGCTGCCATGTCTAAACAATCAAAATGGCTGCACCCTCCGAACAGCAGAAAGTCAACAGCTCAGGTTGTCTCCCTCCTTGCTGTTTTCCTTCCTAGTCATAGGCCACCAGCACAGTCATCCCTGCAGTGCTTGGTGACCAGGGCTGATCTTTAGGTCAATTCTCAGGTCCTACCACCATAGAAATATTCAGGCTGTTGCTCCCATCAGAGTAGCTGACAGTCTGCAGCTCCAACCATCTCTGTACTCACTGTTCTCGTTCAGGTGTTTCCACTCGTTGGTGCCTAACCCACTTCTGTATAGTTCTTTTCAAACTCAGGCCTCCAGGATTATCTTCTGTATCCGTCAGTTTTTCTTTTCTTTGTTGAAGAGGGTCTGTGTCGCTTGTCTGCCTATTCTTCCATGTTAACGGAACTCCAACCTACCATTTTATTACAAATATTTTTTTATTTGCTACGTAGACTCCACAACCATTTTTTTTCTTGCTTTTCTGTATAATATTCTATCAAAGTGATTCCTCCTCATCCGTTTGACCATTTATTTATTTAACCTTTCCTGTATCATTGGACTATTTTGGTTACTTCCCATTTATCAATTATCATAACATTGGAAGGTCTATATTAATATTTAAAGCTTATTCAATATTTTATATCCTTTCCTGGATCCGAAGATATGGCACCACTAAGTAAAAAGCGGTGATGATTATAATGAATCTTGATGTATCTTGCCAAAGTGACTTCTGAAAACTTATTCCAAGTCCCAGTTGCCCAGCAGTGAGCAGAGAAGCAGTAGCACCAAATCTCATTAATCCCTTTTATCCAACTGTTGAAAAGTTGTGCATATGCTAGTAGTTATTTCCAAATTGCTTTCCCCTTTTGTGAAATGGCACCCCATATTCCTTGCTCATTTGTCTTGCTGGAAGATTTTTAATCCCCTCAGTGTGAAATTTACATTTTTAAATTATGGTATGTGATTTTCGTTTGTATTTATCTGATTTGGAAAAGCTTTAACTGATGAATCTGATCAAAGTATCTACAGGCTATTGTTCTGTCATTTTATATTTGAATCTTTTTTTAAGTCAAATTGCCCTTGTGAATTTCCGTTCCTGGAACTTAGCCATCATGGCCTACTGTCCTCTGCTCATTGACATGGAATGAGAACTTTAGACTTAGTACTACAGCTGCTGTTTCACTATTTGTAGCACAATTCTGCCTCCTGTTTATATTTTTAATTTGC